TCTGACCCCCTGGAGGAGGCCCCAGAGGCCTCTGAGGAAAGCGCCTAGCATTAAGACCTGCGGTATGCGAGCCGAACTCCCAGCGCGCTTGGGAACGTCTGACGGCGTCTTGGATCGCCTGGGAGCGCCTCGTGCCGTCTTGTAGCGATGGGTGAACGCCTAGAGGCGCCTCGTAGCGCCTGAGTGTCCGAGGGTGCCTGGGAGTACTTGAGACCACCTGGGGGCGCCTGATTGCCTGCTAGCGCCTACGGATGCCTGGGGGCGCCTTAGCCCACTTGGAGGCTCCTGCGGGTGCCTTGGGAGCGCCTCGGGGCATGGGGGCGCCTGGGCGCGCTTGGGAGGCGCCTGAGGGTTGCCTGGTGACGTGCCTCTTCAGCTTGGAGATGTCTTTGGGCTTCTCCAGGGTCTTCATGTGCCCTTTGGACAACGCCCCTGAACTTGTGGGGCATGCCCCAAGAAGACCCATGCATTGAGCCGTGAGGGTTTCCAACCGAGCCCCCAGCCCCCCAGGGGGGCCGCCAGTATGTCTACCCTGCTATGAGCATTACTGCTGCGAATAACATTGTGATTTCCTGATACAGGTGCTATTACTATCCCCTTAACGGGGGCATTGCCATAAAGACGAGGTCAGGCTCAGTTTCATCCTTCTTCTCTTTATAGTCCATCTTCTCCTGTTTCTGCTGTTGCTCCCAGTCATCATCCTGCTCCTGCTCATTTTTCTCCTTGTCTTCTTCCGCCTCACTCTCGGGGTTGAATAACATTCAAAGGCGCGAGTCTTGGTCGGCTTTGCATTGGGCTTCGTTGCTCCTATTGTGTTGCGACTCTCTCCCCTGATGCCCGATGTTCGGGGAGGACGAGGACGAGGAGGAGGAGGAGGAACCGGAGGAGGAGGATGAAGAGGAGGAGGAGGATGAAGAGGAGGAGGAGGAGGAGGAGGAGGAAGAGGTGGAGGAGAGGGAGGTCACACGTGTTCTTGCGATGGCTTGCGTGCTACATGATCTGCCACCTGCAGCATATCCCTGGCAAGCAGAAGTTCAGCGACAACGCGACTCTCAGTGCCCAGGCGGCATCGCGCGCACCAGGGCGACAGGGCCCGACCGTTCACAGGCGCGAGGGCCAGCTGGACGGCGACGAGACGAGGTGCTCGGACACGACCCCTCTCCATTCACTGGGACCGGCTTTTCGTCCCGAGTCGTTTTTTGACGGTCCTGGTGCCCAGCGAGGGCCCCCAGAGGCTGAAAATAGAGAAAAACTTCCCGTCGTGATTCTTTCACGACGCGAGGGGGTCTGGGCCCCCGGCCGCCCGAGCCTCCCCCAGCTTGTAGAGGGGACGGCGCCTCAGAATCGACCGATCGACCCGCCCTTGGGAAGAGATGGCTTGGCCCCAGCTCGCGACACCTGGGCCTTTACGCGCCCGCCGCCCGGGGAACCTATCTCAGGACCCTTAGGGGGGTGGTGGATGCAGATGACAGCAGCAGGAGGATCCTGCGCACTACCTCCCGATGCAAGTTGTCACGACCTGGTTCGGCATGGTCAACCAGAATCCAGAGTTGCACAAAGCGATAGGAAAGAGATGGTCTCCTACAGTGGCACTTCTGGCGAGTAAGACCCGATGGAGTAAGGTTACCTCCCTCTTCTCCGCGCTCATCGCCACCCTCCATGACCTAGGAGTGTACATGGTGGGGCCCTGGGGTTGGATCCTCCCTAACGATCAACGGTACTTCCTGGACGACTTCAGTGAATCTGTTTCTCGGGTTTTCTGGGAAAGGGCCTCACGCTTTCACCTTGGAGGGGGAGCCGAGTTTGGGATCGACACGTTCCAGTTTCAGAAGACCTACCGGAAACTTCGGAAGGATGACCAGCCCACTCGTGCCAAAGCCCTTCAAGCCCTCGGGAAGGCCTCGATATGGACCAATGCCCGAGTTCACGAATGTAAACCAAGCCAGTCAGCGCGATGTGCCAGGTGTGGAGCACCAGTGGAGGACGACCTCCATCGTCTTTGGACATGCCCAGCGCATTTGCGCACTACCGATGAAGCAGTCCTCGACTCCCAGCACCTCGTCCAGAAGGCTATTGATGAGTTCCCCTCATATCCAGTGAAGTGGGGACGAGGACTGCAGCCAGCTGATTTTACGACAGGACGCCTGGACCAACACCCACCCAGAGCCACCCTCGGAGCCACGGGGACCTTCATGATCCAAAGGGGCCCCATCAAGGGCAAGTTTTTGGTGGGGACCGATGCTGGAGGAGGAAAGTTTCCGAATGATCCGAGGCTGAGGAGAGTTGGCTGGGGGGTCGCAGTGAAAGATTCCGACCTCGAGACCATAGGAACTTTAAGAGGAGGCCTGCCAGGAAAGCATACGGTCAACCGCGGGGAGCTCCACGCGGTGGTCCAAGCTGTCCAGAATTTAGCAGGCGAGATCACCATAGTGACCGACTCAGCATATGTATATCGTGGAGTATTACGAGGGCCCCTTTGGCAACAGAAATATTATGTAGACCTCTGGGAGGAGTCTTGGAAGGCGACATCAGAACTTTGACGGAACCATGGAGTTCCACAAAACTAAATCCCACCCCACGGAGAATGACTTCTGGGATTACAACATCCAGCCCTGGGCGTTCCTGGCTAACCAACTGGCATATCAGGTTGCGTCAGATGCTGCAGAACGTGTCCAGCTTCCTGATTGGGTGATCCGCCCCGTGTTAGAAGCCGATCGCGAGGTAGAGCTCATCCAGAATCGAATAGCCGCCGTCCAGGAGTTTTTCTGGGAGGTTTTCCCTGCCCCGCCTCCTGCTCCCAAGAAGCGGGGGCGGGTAAAGGCCCCGAAGAAGTGGGGCCATGCCCAGCACGTTTTGGAAGAAGTTCCCGAGGGCCTGAGGTGCAAGGTATGTTTCGGATATCAGATTCGCGGGACCAAGGAGTCCTGGCTCGAGTCCCCGTGCACCCCGAATCATGCCCAATGATTTCACACGTCGCACCTTCCACACCTCCGCGTCTTCCGTGGGGTAGCCTTTTGCAGCAGGTGTGGGGGGGTGTCGTCGACTCGAGCATTTAAGTTGAAGGACCCCTGCCTCCCCCCCACAAGTACGGGGAAAAAGGCGAGGTCTCGACTGCTTCGTGGACTGCTGCCCAAGGACTGCAGCAGTGGCCGTGCTCCTTGGCCGCCAAATCGCAGGAGGACTGCGCGCGGGCCTTAGGAGTGCCAGGCCAGAGGATCTCACAATGAGGTCCCGATCGGGCCCGAGGAGTTTTCGGACACCCCTTAGTAGCATGCAACATGCAACAGGCCCGGATGGTTATGGTTGCAGCTGCGAGGCCCTGACTGGTCTCTGAGAGCTCGGCCGGCCGTAGACGCGCGCGTTCCGCTGCGTGTACTCGACTTTCTACACCCCGTCGCCGCGCGCGGGGCCGCGACGCCAAAACAGAATGTGTGTGTGTGTGGGGGGGAAGCGGGAGTGCGCGAACATCGGCACAACGCCATCACGAATACGCTGTAGATGCCCGTAGGCACACGCATGCGTATACATCGTCGCAGGCGTAGAGGTTGACACCAACACCAAAATCGGCGGCGTGCCGCCACCGAGGGGAGAAGATCCCGATCTCGGCGATGGAGGTAACAGTATGGCTTCCAAGGTGGCCGACATATTACCAGCACCCCCTGTGGAGGCAACCTCCTGTGCTGGTGTTGGTGCCCATTTCGGGGCCTCCTACATCGGTTCATGTGTATACACGCATGAGGCGTTCCAGAAATAGCATATCGCCTTCGAGGGCCCCAAGTGAGCTGCCATCCCTGCTTTCGCGGAAGGCGCGGCGGAAGGCCGGCGGACACCCGCGGAAGTAAAAAACGAGGCCGCTTCCGCCGGCGGCATTCACAGATCGACCACCTCCAGGTCCAGAAAGATCGGCTACATTCAGGAGGGGACAAAACACACAGACAGAATTAATCGTCGATTCCCTTGAAACTATTGGAACATATGAGAAATTGGTGGGAAGACGAAACCTGAGAAAATATTGGGAATCTTGTTTTTTGTGTCTACTCAGTTTATGTGTCCCAGGGCCCCTTCACGGCTACATTTTGGCGGCGGACGTGTGCAAGCCTCGCCCTCGGACCAACGGCGCTGCCGCGGACCCTCCGCGACGCCGCGGTCGCGCTCGCGGCGTGAGAACTCCACCCAAAGCTCTCGCGACCCTGCACCTGGGACTGGGAGCCTGCCCTGGGCCGTTCTGTTCGAGGGTTCCCGCCAGGGGCAACGATTAGGGGGGATGGGCTTAGGCTCAGGGGGGGGTGGGGGTTCCAAGGTCTTCGAAAGAATGGGGAGTTTTTGCCGGGATCGTCCCGAAAGGCCGCCAAGGGTTCGAGTTATGGCCCGAAAGCCATTGGGGACATGGGTAAGCTCATGCATCAACCCCCCATCGCCCATGTATTGCTGAGTGAGGTGTGATAGCCCCACCCCGCCCAGGAACGTGCGGAATGGTTTTATCGGTGGCCTAGATCGCCAATCTATCGGCGATGTATCGCGGACTGCAGCTCAATGTTTCCCACCCCTGCGCTGGTCCGCCCTGGCGCTGCCCCTCACCGAAGGCCCCCCGGGGCCCGAGGCGTAACTCCATGGAGAGGCTCGGAGGAGCCGGTATCGCGGCGCGAGAGGCCTGTTGGCTCTGTCCCTCTCCAGACATGCATCCTCGCGCCGTGGGAAGCATGACGACGGACAGTTGTTGGCAAGTTCAGCCTCCGGGGGCCGCTCCTGGTCCCCAGGGCCGTCAAAAATAACTCGGGATGAGACGCTGGTCCTTTGGAAGTGGTCCAGACCTCCAGGGGTGCACGTTGTGAAAAAAAACACCAGGCCGTAGGTTTGAGGAGGTGTCCTTGGCTTGTCGCGCGGGTTCGGAGCAGATGAGGCCCTCCGGGCCTCGGGAGAGGTGCCCTGGAGGCCCCTGGGCCTCCTTGGAAAATCTGGGCGTACCTTCGGCTAGGACCACCTGTCAGCACCCGACCGAGGTTTCGCGTGCGGCTGGGCTTCGGGCTCCACCTGGGCTGGTCCATCGAGGGCGCAATAGGCTCCAGCGGGCAAGACGTCGTTGTCGTTGTCGCCTTCGTCGTCGTTGTCGCCTTCGTCGTCGTTGTCGCCTTCGTCGTCGTCGTCGTCGTCGTCGTCGTCGTCGTCGTCATTCGTCGTCGCCGCCGCCGCCGTCGTCGTCGTCGTCGTCGTCGTCGTCGTCGTCGTCGTCGTCGTCGTCGTCATTCGTCGTCGCCGCCGCCGTCGTCGTCGTCGTCGTCGTCGTCGTCGTCATTGCCCCCACCGTCATCATCGTCGTCGTCATCTTCGTCCCCGCCGTCATCCCCGTCGTCGTCGTCGTCGTCGTCGTCGTCGTCGTCGTCGTCGTCGTCGTCATTCGTCATCATCGTCGTCGTCATCTTCGTCCCCGCCGTCATCCTCGTCGTCGTCGTCGTCGTCGAGGGGAGAGGACGAGGAGGGAGGAGGAGCCGGATGAGGGGGAGGACGAAGGTGGAGGGCTTTTGTTTTTCAAGGCATCGTATTGTGAAGGCCTTGCGGCCGGTGCCGCCGACCCGGAAGGCGGGACCTCACCTGGGAACCCCGCTGGCGCCCCCCCCCCCCCCCCCCGGGACCCGCCGGCACCCCCATGGGGTGCGGTATCCTGACCTGGGACCCTCCACAACAGGCGGGACATCCCTTGTAGGATTCCCGCTGGCGAACCCTGCAGAGGAGGTGGTCCCCTTGTCCCCTGTCCACAGGAGGGAACCCTCCCTGGGCCCCGCCGCGTCCGGGGGGGGGGGTGGTAATCTGCCCGGGGATCCCCCCCGAACCCCCCGTATCCCCCCCGTACAGCTCCCACCGTAATTATCCCCCCGTCAGCGGGGGGGGAACAAGAGGAGGGAATCGACTCTGCTACAACGTTTCTGTTCTCTGGTCATTCCTTTTTCCCTTGGGACTGACGGCGACGTTGACAACGAGGGCGACGACGACGACGACGATGGCGACGACGACGACGACGACCAAGACGACGACGACCAAGACGACCAAGACGACGACAGTGTTTCACACACGCCGAAGGGTCGGCGGATTTTTCGTTCTGTCAACAAAGGTATTGTCAGCTTTTGGGCACTGGAAGGCCCCTGGGGAAACTCTGGAAGGTGTCTCGGATTCCCAGAGGCCTCAGAAGACCTTTGGGACATGTTACTCCTGCTGATGTTGATGTTGCTGCTGGTCATGATGTCAATCTGATGAGGACGATGATGTTGATACTTCGGGGCTGTGGTTGCGGTGGTGATTATGATGGTGCGATGATGATGCTACTGTTGATGAAGGTGGTGTTGTCTATGTTGCTATTGATATAGTTGTCGATATTGATGTTTATGTTGATGGTGGTGGTGATGATGGTGCTCGCGATGTCGATCATTACCACGAGGACAAATAATACGATGGGGATAACGAAGCATACGATTAAGTTGAACATGGATATGAAGATGACGCTGAAGATGAAGATGATGAGTATGATGACGATGACAGTGCTGCTGCTACTGCTGCTGCTGCTGATGATGATGATGGTGGTGAGGGTGAGGCTGACTATCATTGGTGTCGTCGATGACGATGTTTGTGCTGGTGTTGCTGCTGTTGCTGATGATGCTGCCGATGCTGCTGCTGCCGCCGACGACGATGATGATGCTACTGCTGCTGCTGCTGCTGCTGATGATGATAATGATGATGATGATGATGATGATGATGATGATGATGATGATGATGATGATGATGATGATGATGGGCCAGGAAGTTTATCAGGGGGAATCTGACAAGGAGGAGAATGACGACCAGTGTAAGCCCAAGACTCCTCAACGACATTAAATCTTCCCTTCAATTTCCTTTCTTCTAGGCCCCATACACGGATTCCTTTTACCGAGGGAAGTGCCCAGCTGGAAGACAACGTTTGAACAGAATTGTGTCAGGACGCCCTTCCTTTGCAATCAACGCCGCGCATCACTGTTACTGTTGCGACTTGACGATCCTGCATCGTGCCAGAACACCATGCCTGGGACTTCGACACCGCGAAACAACGTGACTGTTGCGCCCTGAAATTCCGACATCGTGCTGGTGCGTTAGCCATGAGAATCCTTGAAACTACTGCTGCAAGCTCTCAAGACGAATGTGCGCGGCGCTAAGGCGAGAGCCAGATTTTGAAAACGGGCCGCCCTCCATCCGTGAAGCTCTTGCAAACTTTGGAGAGAGCGTGATCCACCGCCGCTTTACTGTGGAAAATTCCCCCCCCCCCCCCCTCTTCCTCCGGAGCCCGCTCTCCCCCTTCCCCCCCATTCCGAAAATCCCCCCCCTGCTGGACCCCCCCCCTCCCCCCCCCCCTTCCCTCCCTGCCCTCCCCCCCCTAACCCCCCCCCCTCCCCCTCCCCTCCCCCTCGAAAACCGGGGGGGTCACTACCGGTTCGAACCCCTCCCCTCGAAAACCAGAGGGGGGTCACTACCGGTTCGAACCCCTCCCCCCCCCCTCACCGCCAGCAAACGACTCCCGGTCCCTACCACCGTCCGCACCACATCCCCCACTGTTGTTCCCAGCACCACTGTCCTCACCACCACTGTCCCCACTGGTTCCACCACCGTCCCTACTCTCCCCACCAGTGCCCCCACCACAGTCGCACTGTCCCCACTGTCCCCACCACTGTTCCCACCGCGGTTCCACTGTCCTCACTTTCTCCACGGCCCTAGCCACTGCCCGACTATCCCCACTGTCCCCACTGTCCCACTGACTCCTCTGCTGTCCCACTGAGCTGTCCCACTGTTCCCACCACTGTCCCCACTGTCCCCACCACTGTCCCCACTGTACCTCTGTCCCATTGTCCCACCGCCGTCCTCGCCACCGCCTTCACCACTGTCCCCACCACCACTGTGCCCTCCACTGTCCCACTGTTTCCACCACATTCCCACTGTCTCCACACCACTGGCCCCACCACCACCGTCCCCACCACTGTCCCACTGTCTCCACTGTTCCCACCATTGTCCTCACCACTGTCCCCACCACTACCGTCCCCACCACTGTCCCACTGTCCCCACCACTGTCCCGCTGTCCCCTCACAACTGTCCCCACCACCACCGTCCCCACCACTGTCCGCACCCCCCCCGGTTTTCGAGGGGGTGGGGTTCGAACCGGTAGTGACCCCCCCCGTCTTCGAGAGGGGTGGGGGGGGGTTCGAACCGGTAGTGACTCCCCCCTTTTCATGATGGACTGGGGGGGGGGAGGGGTTCGAACCGGTAGTGAACCCCCCCCGGTTTTCTGGAGGGTGGGGGGGTTCGAACCTGTAGTGACCCCCTTTGGTTTTCCCAGGCGGCAGTCGAACACGCTCTTTCAAACTTTTGGACGAATGTGCGCGGCGCTTAAGCGAGAGCCACATCTTGAAAACGGGCCGCCCTCCATCCGTGAAATTCTTGTTTTTTTCACACGAGTGTGTGCGGCACTATGGCGAGAACCATATGTTGAAAACGGGTTGCCTTCCATCCGTGAAGCTCTTGCAACCATGAAGCCTCAGGATGAGAAGTGGTGAGGAAGTCGCAGGCAGAACGCTCGGCCCGCCCTTTCGACCGGCCTCGGGGTGCGACGGGGAGGATTTTTGTCCAGAAGGAGAAGGGACTGAGGATATGAAGAGGAGTATCAGAAGCACGAGAAGGATAAGGCGGGAGAGTCGGAGTACCATGAGCAGGAGCGGGACAAGGAGGGGACACAAGATCATGCGCAGGAGGAGCAAGGCCAGGGGCAGGAGGAGGACAGGGGGTGGAGGAGAGGTGGGCATGACACCAAACACCTAAACACATTTTATCCATCGGCCTGGGCCTCCCGACCTGGCCCAGAGCCAAGCTGGGCCTGTGAAGGTCTGGTTGTGATACCTGCGGCATGCGCACGTCCCCTGTCCCTGAAGAGGGAGGAGCAGAGGCAACCACTTCCTTCCGCAGGGACTGGAGGGGGTCCAGCATGGGGGACGCCCTCGGCCCCCCCCTCACCAGATTCTATATTGTTTCAGTGGTCGGGCGCCCTCGGGCCTGATGGTCCCTTGGGCGCCCCTTTGTCCCTTGCGCGGTTTGTCGCGGATGCCTGTCGGCGCACTTCCGCTGCAACCGCCATCGCTGTGATAGAGGGGGCTTGAGGGAAGCATGAGGCCTCGCGCCTCAAACACTCGCAGGGCGCCTCCGTGTCATGAGGCTCCCGGGGCCCAAACGCCTCGTAGTGCTCATTGGTGTCAGAGCCCCCTGGGCTTCTGGAGGTGAGGTGGTCCCGAAGGTTCGTAGATGTAATGTGCGTTGTGGGGGTCTGGGGCGCGTAGGGCACCTCGCTCCATAGGGCTCATCAGTCTCACAGTGCCGACGTGGCATGTGAAATTGCAACAGTCTTTGGGTCTCATAGGGCCCGTATGGCTCACAGGATCCAGAGCATGGTGTTGTGGTCCCGGAAGTTCCTACACGTGATGGGCGTACAGGGTTCTTTGACGTAACAACAAGGCTTTTGTAGCTGATAGGGCTCATGGGTCTCATCGAGCCGATATGATGGGGAGTGAAGCTCTAATGGCTCACAGGGCTGATCACAGGGTCCGAGTGGCTCATATGTTCCAGAGCTCGTGAGGCTCATACGGTGTGGGAGGGTCGCAATGCTCAGAAGCGTCATCGGGCTCTGGGGTGCAAAGGGCTCCTGCGGATACTAGGCCCGTGGGGCTCACTGTGGGGCTCACTGTGCCGATGTGGCTGGGGTGCAGTGGAATGGCCGTGCGGGGAGCAGGAGAGCGTTGCTTTATCCCCGGGCGATAACTGGTCTTACCCGTAGGGGGGAGGGGGGGGGGGTAACGTCACGTTTCGCGCCGGCGCCGTCTGGGACTGCCTGGGAATAACCCAAAGGATAGCTCGGGCGTCAGCACGAATCGTGACGTTACCTGGGGGAGGGGGGTTGGGCGGCCTGGGCCAGTGACGGCCGCCATTTCGCGAAAAACAAAAGAAACGCTCCCCATGAACCGTGCACTGCGGGGGGCTCTCTTGGGCCGTCCTGGGGCCCTCTCCAGGCCGCCTTGGGACGCTCTTGGGCCTCTGGAGCTCATGGAGGTTATCTAGGGGGGTGTCCTGGGGCTTTCTTTGGCTGTCTTCAATCCTTCGGGGATGGGGAGGAGCAGGATTGAATGGAGGAAAGCGGAGCGGAGTGGGCTTGGGAACGGTGCCAGAAGGATTGAGCGGAGCGGGGGAAGCGGAGTGACATAGGTTGTGCTGGCAAGAGAAAGATGGCGAATGGCGACGTACATGGTCATACGCAGCAGCCGCTGGCGAAGATGCAGATGCGAATCAAGCCCGTGCGGGAGGGGACGCAGAGGGCATGGCGAGAGAAACATGCACTGCGAGGGACTCTTGGCGACCGTTAGGTGTGAATCACGTACTTGACTGGCCGAGTAATTGTCTGGCTTGCGAACTGACATGTTGGCGGACTGACATATTGACATCGGTCCGACTGACCGACCGAGTGAAGTGATCGATTGATTGGTTGGCTGGCTCACTGACTGAGTGAATGGCTCATTATGGTTTGTTTGGCTGGCTGGCTGGCTGACGGATTGATTGGGCGACTGAATGAGTGATGGGCTGGCCTGCTGGCTGACACACTGGCTGATTGGCCGACATGCTTGCCAAGTGACTGACGGAGCGTGAGTGTCAGGCGGACTTGTGACTCATTGACGGACCGACGAATTGACCGAGTGTCTGGCCAGCTTGCTTGTTGGCTAATTGACCGCTTGACCCCAAACCCTGTAGGCGCGGACACGAGAGATCGGCTTGCTCTGGGCTCGACACCCTTGACGCTCACCGCATGTGCTGATTCTTTTTATAAGCAGTTCTTTGGGCAATCTGAACAGGGTGCCACCAGTCGGCCCCCAGCGAGCCCCTGGGTCCTCGACCGGCCCCCGCGAGGTGCCCCCTCTCCCCCTCAGGCCAGGCTCCACCGTGCCGCGCCTTCCCAGCCAGCCAGAACGGGATTAACAGTGATAATGGTACGAACATGGTATTAATGACCCAATGATCATGACAGTGCGGAGAAGCAACAGAGCAGACGAGGATTAGCCACCATGAGGGATGAGTCCTGAGGGACAGGGGCAGGGGTCTTGAGATCATTCCTCGATTTCGGCGTCGGGGGGCCATTCTTGGGCTCCAGGGCTGGTAAAAGCCGGTTCGTGGGGATGAGCAGCTGGTCTCGTGGAAAGCCCACGGATCCAGGACCCGTTCCCCCGAGGACTTCATTCCTCACGCGAAAACGATGTGAATGAGTGCAGCTGCATCTGCTCGCCCCGAACCCAGCAGCACGTGTGCGACGTTAAGTGGAAGCTGCGCAGGCGGAAGGCATCTCGGTCCGACCCCTCGAGGAGCACAGGGCAATCGAAGCATACAAGCACGCGCTGTTCGGATGCGTAGTCACATCAGTTTTTTGACTCAGCTACCCCGTCTGCCGCCGAGTCCTCGTCCTCCAACTGTTATGCATGCAGGCTCCGCGTTCAAAATCGACGCCTCGTACTTGTCCCCTCACGTGAACGTCGCAGGTCACCAGCTTTTTGAGATGCGGCTGTGGCGACCTGCCAGTGGCCCCCTTGCCAACTCTTCCTGCTCGGGTGCCTTCATTCGCTGCTGCTGATGCTGTCGCTGCCGATGCCGCTGTCGCCATCTCAGTTGTCGCGGTCACAGCCTCGACCATTCCTACCACAGTGATTACCACGACTCGACGTCTTTCCAGCAGCTTCAAGCCCGATCGCTCAATAGCTACATAATGCATGTTTCACCGCTCTTGAGCCGTCTTCGGGCCCTCAGAAGTTCTATTGCCGACGTCCCCGAAACCTTGAGGGACGTCTTGGGCGCCGCAGCGCACATCTTGGACGCCTGAGGGTGGCTGAAAAGAGTTCGACGCTCACGGCCACACTCCAGTCTCACCTCGTCCACGTTTTCCATCGTCCATCCTCTTCTCCCTTGGGCTCGTGCCAGTCGTCAAATCATTCTCTGAAGGGCTTCGCCCTCGGCCGCCGCCCCCCCCCCCCCCCCCTCAGACTGCTTGCACGGCCACGCTTGGTCCTTGGTTGGTTTGCTTGTCGGTTTGTTGGCTGGCCACTCGGCTGAAATGCTGGTCTTGCGTATTGAATCTTGGCAATCGGTTTGGGCTGTCTGCTGGCTGGCTGGTCGCGCGCGTCTGTGATAATAACAGATGCAGGATGGTTGCCTCGGGAGCGCGCTGCGATGACAGTTTTCAAGGCTTCGAGGCTTCGGGAGTGCGCACCTCCGAGTGCTGTTTGCGAGGGTTCGTCGCCTCGAGCCCCAAGCCGACTTCTCTCAGCAAACGACCGGGGGGGCAGAAACGCGCCTCCCGAACACATCTCCCAATTTCGAGAACGACAGTTTTTTCTGCCCTGGCCAGGGTTCGGTCACTCGGTGGGGTGGGTTCGCGGCCTCGGGAGCGGCAGCGAGTATGGCTTCGAAAAAGCGCCCACTTGCAGTGATGCGTTGAGGATTGCGGCCACGGGAGCGCGAGCCTGCTGTAATCTGCACGGGATTGTGGCCTCGGCAGCGTGAGTCTGGTGCAATTTGCACGGGATTTGGGCATCGGGGGCGCCGAGGCGTAAACTTTAGTAGGGCTTGTGGCTTCGGTTGCGCAACCTGCATACAATTTTTGCATGACTATGGCTCGGGAGCGCGAACATGATATAACTTACAAGGGGCTGTCGCTTGGGGAGCGCGAGTCTGGTGCAATTTCGAGGGGTTGTGGCGTCGGGAGCGCGAACCCGTTGCTATTCACACAGATTGCGGCCTCGTGCGGGCGAATCTATTGTAATTCACTGTGGTTGTGGTCTGGGGAGCGCAAGCATGATGTACATTAGAAGGGATTGCGGCTTGGGGAGCGCGAGTCTGGGGGAATTTGCAAGAAAGGATTGCTGTTTCGGAGACACGGACGTGGCCAACTTTTCGGGGTCACGGACGTGACAGAGGGAATCTGGTGCGATGTTCGGGCTCCTCCCCACCCCCTCGCGCGGTCTTCAATCATAACAGCAGTGAAGTGAGAATGGCGAATATATCAATGATATTTTCGGGAGCTGGAACTGTTGCCAGGAACTGGAACACCTCCACCTCGCAGCCAGTTGGCCCCCAAGCGGGCCAGCGGATCCTGAGCTTCCGTTGGGTTCGAGATGATAAGCTCCCCAGTGCTCTGCTGAATCTTCTCTGGACCGTGTAGTTGTCATGCTTACGGCTTGAAGGTCTTATGCCAAACCAGTTGTGTTGCACGCGCCAGGGCAGGGGTGTGGGGAAGGGGCCCCGCGCCGATCCAAGATGTCCGTCTGGACCTTCGCGAAAGTTTAGTTTGCGCGCCCTGTTGGTTTACGATCACCCTTGCTCCTCCTCCCAGTCGTGCGCTGGCTCTCGTTTCTCGCCCTGATCGTCATTCTCGGCCTTGTGCGATCGAGCTTCGCCTATCCAGCCGTGCTGCCGCGCATCTCTGCCACCGGTTGGTGGCGGGGCTGGGCCTTGGAGGATGCCGGCCATACGCCAGGATATGCCTGTCCAGGACTGGTGTTGAAGTGCTCGGTCGGCAGCCTCCAAGGGGGGGGAGGGGCACGGTCTGCCCTGGCGTGACCTCGTAAATTTCGGCCGCGGCTTCTCCGTCGGAGTGAGAAGCTGTGGGCTTGGGGCAAACGATTGGCACATGCTTGGATCGATGTGCTGCGGTGCCCTACTTATTGTTACGCATGGCAGGAACTAGCGTAGCGTCCCAGTATTCTTTTCTTGCTAGCTAGGCGCGGCCTGAGGTGCGGACGCCAGTCCTCCGTCCGCGAGCTTCCATAGCAGCGAGATCAGGGACGCGTGATGATGTTTTATGCGAAATATCACGGAGTGGTGGTCGACTTCGTGTTCTTGTGTTTTGTCTCTCTCTCTCTCTCTGACCACTGCTATCGGAATGATGGCCCAGTGCTGCGCGCTCCAGGGTTGCGAAAGAGAATAGAGGGACGAAGAATAGCCAGCCCAGGCGCGCGCGTCGCTAGCCCTAAGCTATAACGCTGCTGACATCATCGCGGTGGCACTAGGGACGGGCAGTCGACCAATGGGGCCTGGCACACGCTCACACTGAAGTCGGCACAGCGTTTTCTTTTCTGTCCTCAGGAGGAGGAGGAGGAGGAGGAGAAGGAGGAGGAGGAGGAGAAGGAGGAAGAGGAGGAGGAGGAGGAAGAAGAAGAGGAGGAGGAGGAGGATGACGAGGAGGAGGAGGAGGAGGACAGGTATCTCACCAGATGACCCAGGTATGCTTCATAGACTGGAAGGTTGGCCCCGGGGGCCCGCCGCATCACACCATGGGCCATGCGCCAAGCCCCCCCTCCACCCCCGGGGGCCTCCCGGGGGCCTCCCCGGAGCCTCCCCGGAGCTTCCCCTGCCACCTGTGAGTTTGCAGGTAGGTTCCGATCCTATCTGCCGTGATACGCCCTTTCTGAAACGCAACATTTCGCAGGCCTAGAGGTTGACACCAACACCAATATCGACGGTGTGCCTCCACCGAGGGAAGAAGATCCCTATCTCGGTGATGGTGGTAATATTCTGGCTTCCAAGGTGACCGACATGTTACCACCAACACCGAGATCTGGCTTCCCCCTGTGGAGGCAAACCCCTGTGTTGGTGTTGGTGCCAATTTCTAATTAGGCCTCCCAACATGCGCCGTTTGTTCAAACGTCTGTGTTAACGCGCTGCGTGTTGGTTCGGCACGTGTTGGCCCATGTTTTGGCGAACGTATCGCGCTGGACCTACGTGCTGAGTCTACGTGTTGAGCTCCGAGAGGATCCCAAGGCACAAATCGATAAACTCCTGTACGGAAGTGCGCATTTCTAGCAAACTCGCTGTTTTCATTTGCGCGGCGTCAAAGATGGCCCAAGAGGTCCCCACGAGAGCACCAAGACGGCCCAAGAGGTCCCCAAAAGGGCCCGAGACAGCCCAAGAGGGCCGCAAGACGGCCCAAGAGGCACCCAGGACCGCTCAGGACGGCCCCAAGAAGGCCCTAAGAGGGGCCCCAGGGGGGAAGTCGAACCGACATTTCGAGGCCTCCGCCCAAAGAGGACTCCGAAGATCCCAGCAGTCCCCTAAGGACTTCCCAAGAGGACCAAGAGGCCCAAAAGAGTCTCCGAAAGGCGCCCCAAGAAGCTTCAAAACTGTCTCGAAGAGGCTGCCCAGAGGCTCTCCCAGAGACCCGAATCGGCATTCAAGAGGTCTCACACCAACAACCCAGGCACGGCGGCAGGATGGGGGCAGAAGGCCACCAAGAGGGGCACACGTGGACGAGGGGCACGGTGGGCCCTCTCTGTCCTTGCATTTCGAGGCCTCGAGCCCGAGAGGAACCAGGAGACCGCCCGCAGGCCCCCAAGAACCCCCCAAAGAGACCCAAGAGAGGCCTCAAGAGGCCCCCAACTGGCCCCCAAGGGGCTTCACAACTGCCTCCAAGAAGTTGCCCAGAGGCGTCCGGAGAGAGGGCATGCAAGAGGTCTCTGACCAACATCTGAGGCACGGTGGCAGGATGGGCCGAAGGCCACCAGGAGATCCGCCGCCCCCTGCTTGCAGGGGTGCACGGCGTGCTGGATGAGCTGTTAGGTTTTGGTTTTGGTTCTTTTTCCAAAAGAACTCTCCAGTGGGCTCCGGCAGAACCCGCCACCGTGCGCAAAAACGGCCGTTTCGCTCGGGACATCCTCAAAAAATCGCGAAGATGGCCCAAGATGGCCTCCAAGTCCGCCCGAGATGGTCCAAGACGGCCTCCAAAACGGCCCAAGAGAGTCCAAGACGGCCCAAGACGGCCCAAGAGGCCCCCCAGAGGCCTCCCAGACGGCCCAAGAGGCCTCCAAGAGGTCCTCCAGGAGAGTCCGAAGAGGGCAAAATCATTGATTCCCAACCATCCTGTGGTGTTGGGTCCTCGTTTTGAAGAGACAGCGCCCCGCGTCCACTCCTCCCGCTGCCCCCTTCCTCCTCTTCATCCCTGCGTTTCACCCACCGCTTCGTGGCCCCATAGGGAGCTCCACCGAAGGCCCCACTGGCAGGGTTCGCATGGCGGCCTCGGGCCATTTCGGCACACCCCTCACGAGGATCGTGGCCCCATAGGGAGCTCCACCGAAGGCCCAGTGGCAGGGTTCGCATGGCGGCCTCGGGCCATTTCGGCACACCCCTCACGAGGATCGTGGCCCCATAGGGAGCTCCACCGAAGGCTCCAGTGGCAGGGTTCGCATGGCGGCCTCGGGCCATTTCGGCACACCCCTCACGAGATCGTCCCATAGGGAGCGTGGGGTTCCCGGCACGAGGATCGTGGCCCCATAGGGAGCTCCACCGAAGGCGCCAGTGGCAGGGTTCGCATGGCGGCCTCGGGCCATTTCGGCACACCCCTCACGAGGATCGTGGCCCCATAGGGAGCTCCACCGAAGGCGCCAGTGGCAGGGTTCGCATGGCGGCCTCGGGCCATTTCGGCACACCCCTCACGAGGATCGTGGCCCCATAGGGAGCTCCACCGAAGGCGCCAGTGGCAGGGTTCGCATGG